TATTTGTCTCAGTGAATCATTCATTTTTGACAGACACCTGTACAAAATACTTGAACTAAAGCCAGCTAAATTTTTCTGTTATCTTGCATGTTTTATGAATCTATTCACATCTAAATGCAGCACTTTTTTTTTGCAATGAGACATTTGTTTTTATTCTAAAATATGTCAATTACTTTCAATAAAGCTGGAAATTATGTTCCTTAAAATAATTAAACAAATAAGGCACCAATGTTTTTGTAAGATATTTACATCTTTTAAGGACATTCGGTAGACTGATTCCCCACTGTTGGTTCAACCCCAAAACTTGTTTGTATTCAAAATTAATTATGACAATGCATATTTATATTGAAACAAACTATGATAAAAGGAATTATATTATATAACAAAGGGCAAGGTCACCAGTGTTCAACTATGTTTATTATTTGTACACGTTAATATGACTACCTCACTCAATCTTATTATTTGAAATTCAGGTGCAGTCTTGGTGGAGAGGTATCATGGTTCGCAAACAGCTTGGGCCATACAGTAAGAAGAAAAAGAAGAAGGGTAAAAAAGGAAAGAAATCTGGGAAGAAGGGAAAGAAGAAGAAGAAGTGAACTATCAAGCAATTGTTGTTCTTTTTAAATAAAATGGTTGTTCAATCTTATTGTGTTAAATAAATATTGTGTTTTTATTGTAATCGTGGACTTCAGATGACATATTTCACATTTCAAAGAGGGCATCCACACATTTTATAAGATGACAAATTTTCAATGAATCTGATGGCAGTTTTCAGATATCTGATGACATTTGTAAGATTGAGCTGATATCCCAAACCAAGAGTTGTTATTTAGGTTCTCTTTAACTGTTCGTTCATTCGTTCTTCATCTGAAATCAATTCTTGGATATGCTTAGACAGATTTTACTCAAATTTGGTACAAATTGGCATACATACAGTTGTCAATTTGTCAAAAATTTACATTAACTGCTTAAAAATTAATTCCAGCGAAAATAAAGTATTCCAAAGTAGTACTTATGTTGGTCATTATTGTTCACATAGTACTTATATTGGCCATTATTATTCACATAGTACTTATATTGGCCATTATTGTTCACATAGTACTTATGTTGGCCATTATTGTTCACATAGTACTTATGTTGGCCATTATTATTTACATAGTACTTATGCTGGCCATTATTATTTACATAGTACTTATGCTGGCCATTATTGATCACATAGTACTTATGTTGGCCATTATTGTTCACATAATACTTATGTTGGCCATTATTGTTCACACAATACTTATGTTGGCCATTATTGATCACATAGTACTTATATTGGCCATTATTGTTCACAATACTTATATTGGCCATTATTGTTCACATAGTACTTATATTGGCCATTATTATTCACATAGTACTTATATTGGCCATTATTGTTCACATAGTAATTATATTGGCCATTATTGTTCACATAGTACTTATGTTGGCCAATATTGTTCACATAGTACTTATGTTGGCCATTATTATTCACATAGTACTTATATTGGCCATTATTGTTCACATAATACTTATATTGGCCATTATTGTTCACATAGTACTTATGTTGGCCATTATTATTCACATAGTACTTATATTGGCCATTATTGTTCACATAATACTTATATTGGCCATTATTGTTCACATAGTACTTATGTTGGTCATTATTGTTCACATAGTACTTATATTAGCCATTATTATTCACATAGTACTTATATTGGCCATTATTGTTCACATAGTACTTATATTGGCCATTATTGTTCACATAGTACTTATGTTGGCCATTATTATTCACATAGTACTTATGCTGGCCATTATTGATCACATAATACTTATGTTGGCCATTATTGTTCACATAGTACTTATGTTGGCCATTATTATTCACATAGTGCTTATATTGGCCATTATTGATCATATAGTACTTATATTGGCCATTATTGTTCACATAGTACTTATATTGGCCATTATTGATCATATAGTCCTCATATTGGCCATTATTGATCACATAGTACTTATGTTGGTCATTATTGTTCACATAGTACTTATATTAGCCATTATTATTCACATAGTACTTATATTGACCATTATTGTTCACATAGTACTTATATTGGCCATTATTATTCACATAGTACTTATATTGGCCATTATTGTTCACATAGTACTTATGTTGGTCATTATTGTTCACATAGTACTTATGTTGGCCATTATTATTCACATAGTACTTATGCTGGCCATTATTGATCACATAATACTTATGTTGGCCATTATTGTTCACATAGTACTTATGTTGGCCGTTATTATTCACATAGTACTTATATTGGCCATTATTGATCACATAGTACTTATATTGGCCATTATTGTTCACATAGTACTTATATTGGCCATTATTGATCATATAGTCCTCGTATTGGCCATTATTGATCACATAGTACTTATGTTGGTCATTATTGTTCACATAGTACTTATATTAGCCATTATTATTCACATAGTACTTATATTGACCATTATTGATCATATAGTCCTCATATTGGCCATTATTGTTCACTTAGTACTTATGTTGGTCATTATTGTTCACATAGTACTTATATTAGCCATTATTATTCACATAGTACTTATATTGACCATTATTGTTCACATAGTACTTATATTGGCCATTATTGTTCACTTAGTACTTATGTTGGTCATTATTGTTCACATAGTACTTATGTTGCCCATTATTATTCACATAGTACTTATGCTGGCCATTATTGATCACATAGTACTTATGTTGACCATTATTGTTCACATAATACTTATGTTGGCCATTATTGTTCACATAGTACTTATGTTGGCCATTATTATTCACATAGTACTTATATTGGCCATTATTGATCACATAGTACTTATATTGGCCATTATTGTCACATAGTACTTATATTGGCCATTATTGATCATAAATAGTCCTTATATTGCCATTATTGATCACATAGTACTT